TCCTCCCCACCAGCCTGGGGGGAGGTTCTGCTGGCTGGAGCTGGAGATGGCCTCTGTGGGGAGCCTGGGGACCCACGGGGCCAGTGTCCAGGGCGGTAGCCTGAGTCCTCGACTCGGCCTCGGAGACTGTCTGCTCCAAGGCTGTGCAGGACTTCCCTTGCCTCACATGCCCTATCAGAGAGGACTTCCAGGTCCTGGGCAGATGACGTGGGGGCCACAGGACTTGAGGAACTCAGGGAGGTGGCTGTCCAGACGCTCTGGTGCCGTGTGGGTGAGCTCTTTCTCCCTCTGTCTCCTCCCTGTAGCACAGAATACGCCATCAATAAACTGCGGCAGGAGGGCAGCGAAGAGGGTATGTATGTGCTGAGGTGGAGCTGCACCGACTTTGACAACATCCTCATGACCGTCACCTGCTTTGAAAAGTCTGAGGTCAGTCTGGACACTGGCTTGGACCAAATCCTGCGCCTGCGAGGGGCCCGGTGCAGCCTGGTCCAGGAGCCGCTGCAGAGAACCAGCCTTCGTGGGGGTGTGGGGAAGAAATGCCTGGGTCTCTGAAAAATCCCTGGGAGGGTGTTCAGGGGCACCCAAGGGTCTCAAGATGACTGCTCCCAGGCAGTCAGACTCTTGTATCCTTTCCCCCGGTGGCCCATGGCAGGGGTCCACCATGGCTCTGGATGATAGAATATGACCAAAGACCAATTCTCACCAAACACACGCGAAGTTTAATGCAATCACTTAGAGTGGTTTGTTCCAGATTCAGCACCAAGATCATCGCAGGCCCAAAGCTGCGTCTGTCAGTCACATTCACTGGCACAAACCAGTGACGCAAATGCCACCTCCTCAACATGGCATGACCGAGTTTTCTAAATAGCTTCAGACACCTCCACAGACCAATTGCCCCCCACATTGCGGCCGTGGATGGAGATGTCTGTTAGGGAGTCAAGTGCAGCTGGAGCTGGGAATGATGGGAGAGAAGCCTGAAGGCTGAGATACAAGCCAGGATGACTAACTTGGCCTCCCTAGGCCATACCTACCCCTGTTATTCGTGTAATTTTTAAAAAATATGAAGCTGAATAGGTTTAAAGACAGTGAATTTTACAAATTAGTCAAACCGAACACAGGCTTGGCATGAACTAGGAGAATTGGGGGTAATGAGGGGGCTTTGGGGTGGAAGTCAGACACAGGAAGGTAAGGTACTAGAGCCCTGGGAGCCGGACTCAGTCAGGGGTGGGACAAGGAAAGGCGAAAGGAAGCCCACGCCGCCAGGTATCCCGGGTGAGGCCATGCAGCAACATCACTGCCCACCTGCAGGCCTTCCTGAACACTGGCCTCGGGCCAATCGGGCTCGCTGGCACAGAGCTGGTCAGCCTGTTGCCCTCACAGGATGCGCGTGCCCTTTACGCACTGTTCTCAGGAGGAAGTGCAGTGTTTCTGAGAGGGAGGGCTGCATGAGGCAACCCGGCTTCCTTCTGAGGTGGAGTTGACTTGTGCGGTGCCAGGAGTGTCTGTGACTCAGTAGCGCAGCCCGCTCATGTCAGTTCACCTGGGAGATAGCAGTCGCAGAAGGACGATGCCTACAGCTTATGGTAGCTCACCCGACACTTACCGACTTGTTCTTGTTTAAGCCTTATAACAGCCACAGGAATTAGGTGGTGATAATATCCCACCATACAGATGAAGTAACTGAGGGCTTTTTTAAAAAAAATATCCTGTCCTAGTTTACATCTTAGGTAGGTCTTTCTGACCCTCATTCTTTTTTTTTTGAGTCGAAGTCTCTCTCTGTTGCCCGGACTAGAGTGCAGTGGCATGCTCACAGCCACCTCAGCCTCGACCTGCTGGGCTTGGGCGATCCTTCCACCTCAGTGGCCCTCATTCTTAGCCGCCAAAATACTTTACTCTGTACAAAAAGAGCCCATGGGGAAGACTTGTTCTACCTCCTCCTTTCTGTGGCACCACCGAGGCCCGAGCCAGGACCGCATGGCCAAGTGCCAGCTCCTAGTGCCGCCTGCTTGACAGACACGTGGCCAGGAAGAGCTCCATTCGAGGGAGTTCCCGGGCACATGTTGCTGTCGTAATCATTACTTTATGCCTGTTTACTTGTCTTTGTGAAGCGCTGAGTTTTTCAGTGCATCATGTCCTATAGTTGTAATAACAGCCCTGTGAGGGTGGTGTGGTCATGAACTTCCTCTCACAGGGCAAGAACCAGGTAATGCGTCTGCGGGAATAACTACTCTATATGCTGTGGTGTTGGCTCCCTTTTAGGAGTGCCTTCTCCTGTACCCCCTCTTATTATTTATTTGTTAGTTGGCTTATTTATGGATGATCAGCTTTTTTTACTTTTGAATGATCTTAGGTTTATGGACATGTTACAAAGTTTGTGCAGAATTTCTGTACACGTTCTACCCAGCTTCCCCTAGCCCCTGGTACATCTGCCTGACCGTGTTTTAAACAAGTGGTTTCTGGACATTTCTCGAATGGCAGGTGCAGGGTGGCCAGAAGCAGTTCAAGAACTTCCAGATCGAGGTGCAGAAGGGCCGCTACAGCCTGCATGGCTCCGACCGCAGCTTCCCCAGCTTGGGAGAACTCATGGGCCACCTCAAGAAGCAGATCCTGCGCACGGACAACATCAGCTTCGTGCTGAAGCGCTGCTGCCAGCCCAAGCCCCGAGGTCAGTCTCTGCCCCCGAGCGCCGCGTCCCCTCCGCGGTGCCCCTCGCCCCCTGGAAGCCGCCAAGCCCAGACTGGCAGAGACGCACCAGCTGGCTTAAACCCAGTTGCCCCGGCCCACTGTTTTTAGGTGTTTTTCATTGAGCTATGGCAACCCTGCCCCCACCTCAAATCCCACCCTTTGGACATCAGCAGTGTCTGTAAAAAAGACACACACCTCTTCTCAGGGTCTCAGGCTGCAGGAAGAGGCATGTTCAGGATTAGTAAGCAGAAAGCTAAGGCGTTCTTTAAGATGAAATGTCTTGAGAGCTCCTCTGTCCTCAGTCATTGGTTGATCGATCTAAGAAACATTCCCAGTACGTCTAATGTGGGCCAAGAACTACGCTAGACACAAAGAATCAGCAGTGCTTAAGATCCAGACCCTGCTCTCTGAGGGTTTCCAGTCTAAGGCAGAAAACATTCCAGGCACACAAGGTCACTGCAGTCTGTGATGGGTGTTTTAACCGACACATGCACTCCAAACCCTGGGTCGAAAGAAAGGAGCGGTCCAAACCTCCAAGTCGCCTGGCATAGGAGGCTGCGCGGAGGAGGCAGCTCTTCTGCCAAGTGTTGGAGCGCGAGCAGGAGGTTGCCGTTGGGGCATCCTGGCAGAGCCACGGCACGGCAGGCCCGAGCGGGGTGGAGGCGGAGGCGGAGGCAGGGGAAGGCAAGGCTGGGTGTGGAGTTGTACCACGGGGGCCGTGACCGCGAGCTGGGACTTTGAACTGAAGGCATGGGGGCCACGGGAGGATAAGGGGCGAGGGGCCCGTGAGCATTGTCACTGAGGTCCTGCGGGTGGAGCGATCGTATCTCAGAATGGGAGAACTGGAGGGACAGGTGGGGTCACATGGCCAGTGCCTCATTTTGTAGATGAGAAAACAGAGGCCCAGAAATGTGAAGTGGGTCTCACAGAAGGTCAAGGTCAAAGAGGGCTTGGAGCGCCAGGTCTAACCCGAATGCCAGATCTCCCGAATGTTGGATTGCTGACGTTCTTTCCCTTCAAGAGGCTGCCTGCTTGTGTCAGATCCTTCCCTTAGAGGGGGTTGGGCCTCAAAGAAGGGGCGGCACGATTGTGCCGGAGACCCCAGTAAGTGTCCGAGGAAGAGACTCCAAGGAGTCGCTGTGTCTGAGACACACTCGTTCTTCTAAGGAACGCGTCCGTGAATCTTCACGCCAGTGTGGGCAGAGGAAGCAACACCAGGATGGAAAGGGGCCTGGGCTCTTGATGTTTGAATCACTTTTCACTCTCTCAGTGAGGGGCTCGTCATGAACTTGCTGAAAGAGGAAGGACTTGTGTTCTTGTTGATCAGATAGGGTTTCCTGCCAACCCCAGAGAATAACTGCAGTCTTTGTTTTCATGCTTGAAGATTTTCCGCAAAGGTAAAAACACGTCTGCTACTTGGCTGCAAGACCTCAGAGCGAGTGAAAACCTTACAGCCCAACGACCATGTTTACCCAAAGGAGTTGAGTCGAACCCTGTCAAGGCTCCTGAAACTGTGCTGAGTGTTTAGTGCTGCCCTTTCCACTTGACTGTGGACTCTTGAGCCCAGAGCTGGATTGTACTCACTGTTCTGTGACTCAGGAAAAGACAGTTCCTCTGCACAGAACAGCCCTTCCATGATGCCTGTTGAGGGAAACATTGTGGCAGTGACTGCCATGCTCACTCCATTTCTTCCTTCTGCTCAGTAGCTCTTTGTAGCTGTTTATCAAGGGGAGGAAATTGAGACTCAGAGATGTTAAGTGATTTGCTCAAGGCCACACAGCTAGTAGTAGCATCTTTAGTTGGTATAACAACAGCAGCAGTAAATAATAGTAATAATGATAGTGGCTTCTGCCATGTGAGTAATGCTTAGAATCTGACAGACTCTGTTTAGAGATCTTTTATGGTTTAAGTCATTCAATCCTCAGAACAGCTAGGAGTATGTCTTTGTCCCCGTTGTACTTGCTTAAGGTCACTTAGTAGGGGAAGTGCGGGGATTTGAACTCACATTGTCTGAGGCTAAGTCCGGCAATTTTCCCTTTCCATCAGGCTGTCTTTGCAAAGGCGCAGCTGTCACCCTGAGACGCCAGGGCACGGGCCGGTTCTCCTGACCTTGGCAGAGCAGGGGTAGGCCTGTGTGTGAGGTGCCCTTGCCTGGGGTGCCCGACGCCCTCTGTCTCCCTCTGCCACCTGCAAGTCAGAGAAGTGGTGGGATCCTGGGCATTTGGCTGCCACGTCGGGTGATTGGCTCCTCTGCCCTCCTGACCACCAGGCTCAGATAGCCAGACCGCGATCTGGGTTTTTCACTTGAAAACGCACCCAAAAAACCCTCATGGGAAAAATGAAAAGCAAAGTGAAAAAGCAAGAGGCTACTCAGAGTGGGGTGACAGCTGAGCAAAACCCTGCCAAGGCCCTGTGTCCAGCCCTGCTGCTGTCTGCCAGTTCGAAGGTGGCTGTGCTAGAAGCTGCATGCGGCCTGCTCTCTGTCAACCCTCAACACCCTCGCCTGTGTGGGCAGCTTGAGCTTGTTTCCTTTGCCCTTTGGCTCCGACACTGAGGCCTCCTGCAGTCCACTACCCAGGGCTCAAGGACTCTGGGGATAATAGCAAGGATGATAACAGTGAAGACTCACCGGTTATATAACAGCTACTGGTTACGGGGCATTTCCTCCACACCAGCACTGAGGGCAGCACTGCCTTGCTTTCTCTCCATCCTGCATGGTAACCTGATGAGGGACACTGAGGTTACCCCCATCTTTCTAGTGAGAAAAACAGGTTCATGGAGGGGAAGTGGCTTCCCCCATTCACACCATTGACCCCAGAGCCACAGTCCCTGAAGCGCCATGCAGATAGTCCTGAAACGGTCCCCTGCATCTGCCTCTCTGACGTCTCAGTGGCTCCCCTGCCTGACCTCTTCCCTGTGGACACCAGGCAACTGGCCCTATCTCGATGCCTTGCCTCCCTCCCGCCAGCCCTGCGTTGCCTGTTGGCCTCTGGTTTTACCCAGGTAACAGGGTGGAGTCAGGAACATGGAGCGGGTGGCCTCTGGAAAAAAGAGTGCTGAGGCTCTGAGCGCCCAGGGAGCCTCTACCTGAAGCCTGCTTCTGGCACCCTGGTGTGTGCCTTTTGCCGGCAAGGGTCAGGGTTGTGGCAAGGGTCAGGGTTGTCGTGGGAAGGTGAGGCCAGAGCCATCTCTGACTTCAGTGTGTGTCCTAAGGTGACAACGGCCTGACCTCGGGCAAATCATCTAATCTCCCTGAGTCTCTGTTTTCTGATCAATAAAAGATTAGAATACTGTGTACTTCGTAGGATTATCATGAAGGCAAGGAGTTGGTGCGTGTCAGGCTCTTGGAACAGGGGCTGCGCAGAGAAAGCTGAGCGTGTGGGCTCAAAATAAGTTGAAGAGGAAGAGCGAGTCCCGCCCCCAAGGGTGGTGAGGGTCAGAGAGGCCGTCCTGCGGCCCAAGGCGTGGCCTTCTGCAGACCGGCACCAGCAGCTGCTGCCCCCTGGTGGCACGTGCGGGCGGCCTCCATGGTCGCCGGGCTGTTCTCACTGGTCTCCCAGGAGCCTTTTCGGTTGGAATCCAAGAACCAGGACCTGAAAGGCCACGTTTTCTCCCCTCACACGTTGCTGTTTTCCAGGGCAGGAAAGAAGGGACGAGAAAAGCATCTCTCGGTTGTCATTTCCCTCATATTCCTGCTTCGTTAAAAACACACTGAATATTCATTAAAAACCTTTCGTTCCTGTCTGACTCTGAAAGATCCCTTCTTCCTCCATGATAACCTCATGGCTTTCGGTGGCTCTGTGTGTGGGGGGGAGGGGATGGGCGGTTTCTGGGGATTATAGATTTCTTGGCCCGGCAGATTTTGTAATGAGCTTGCTGTTTGCACTGTAGAATCTTGGGGATGGTCCACTTGTAACCTGTGCTTTCAGGGGACATTTGGTAAATGCCTCCTCGGTTTTGGGCACTGCTGGGCCTAGGAGGTTGTGAAAGGACCCTCTTTCTGGGTCACCTGCCCTGCTCTTCTGGCTCAGAGCCAGTGTTTGTTGTTTGTCTTCTCCCTGGTTCCCATCACGCCCAAACCCCAGGGCACTGCCGCTTCCTCCTCCTCAGGTCTCATTCTTCAGATACACTCTCATCATTCATTCATACACGTAGCAAACACTTTTTGAGTGCCTGCTATCTACCAGCCTGTGGAGGTGAAACAGAAAATACGATAGACGCAGCCCCTGACTTCTTGTAGTTTTCATTCTTTGGTTTTAAAGTTTCATTTCCTTAGGGAAACCGTCCCTGACCTCTCTCACCTGGACAGATCCTGCTGTGCTGACCTTGGGGCACCATGCACCTGTCCTTCAGAGCAGCTGGACAGACTGTCGCTTTCCATTTGTCGGGTTACTGATTTGACACGCGTTGCTCTGTCATTAGCCTGTGAGCTCCTAGATGGCAGGAACCAAGTATTTACCCAACAAGCATCTGTTGAACACCTGAACCAGCGAGGGCACACACAAGCGTTCCACACGCCCCTGGCTTGGCGGACGTTGGCTGGCTGGGATCTCGGACCTCTGGCGCTGGGCTCAGACTTTTCCAATCTCTTCTGCAGAAATCTCCAACCTGCTGGTGGCTACCAAGAAAGCCCAGGAGTGGCAGCCCGTCTACCCCATGAGCCAACTGAGTTTCGATCGGATCCTCAAGAAGGACATTGTGCAGGTGAGTCATCGCTGTGGGATTTGGCCCGGCCTCTCCATGGTGGAGCAGCCTGGGAATTTAGGGCATGAAGTCTGCCTCTGGGGAGATGCTACTGGAGGAAGAGCAAGAGACCTTCCTTTCCCAGTGAAAGCCGTTCACTGAAAGCCTCCATCGTCCTGCCTGGCCTTGCCGATGCTCCTCAGAGACACATTTGGAGGGGAGTAGATCAGTCGGCTCCGTGGGTTACTCGGGGTTGCGGGTCCTCCCGGTGGAAGGGAGCGCTATGGGTGGCAGGGGGCGAGTGTCCACAGGGAGCCAGGTATTCACCTCTCACTCCCACAGGGGGTTGTGTGCCGGGGCACTTCTGGGGCTCAGTCTGGCCATTGCTGATGGCACTTCCAGAAGGAGCGGAGCTGGGGAGCAAAGGACACAGGGAGGGGACAGGCAGACGTGCACAGTATAGGCCTGAAGGAAAAGAACTCTCCCCAGAAACAGATCCCTCTTGGGGCTCAGACTGGCATCCCACCTGTGGAGGCCTTCAGCCCAGGATCGACAGCTGGAGGCGCCCTGAATTTCCCTTGTAGCTGCCCTGTGAGGCTCGGGGCCCCTCCGTAGCCCCCTTACGTAGAGCCACACACGGGGGATGTCAGGGAGACAGCATGCCAGCAGGCTTGGAGATAAGAAACTACACAGGGCCTCCTGCCACCTGGGTGAGCGCAGCACCTTGGGGGTGTTGGCGGGCGAATCGTGGGCCCACACCTGAGGAGGGGCTTAGGGAGGGTGGCAGGAAGTGGGGACGCTCGCCTCCGTAAGTGAGCCCGTGAGGTTGCTGGGGAGGGTTTGAGGGTGTGGATGTCCACGACTGCGGCCACCTCACTTCCATTATGGGAAATTTCTTCTCTGAGGGCCTGTGCTTGTTGCTCTCTCTCCCTCTGGTGGCGTCAGAGGTATGTGTCCTCAGATGAAGATCACCAGAGCTGCGCTTCCAGGCTCTTTTCTGTGTAGAAGTGGACACGGGCCTCAAGGCCTGCCTCTTTCCCTCCCCTTCAGCCTCTGAGCAGGTGACCCCCATTCTCCACACCGTGCACACCCAGTTAGCCACAGTGATGGAGCATTTGCAGTGCCAGGCACAACTGCAGTCCAAAGCAGTCTGTCAGTCGAAGGGAGAAGCAGACTCCTGTTCTCTGAGGGAGGGAATCACGTGAGCAAGAGACAAGTCCTGATGCCGGGAAGTTCTGCAGGATGCCTTGGGAGGACAGAGATGGCTTCCGGGGGGAGGTGGCATCAGAACAGAGTCCCAGAGGGTGGGTAGCAGGGAGCTGGGCAGAGTCAGCCAGAACTACATGGAAGGGGGCTGAAGGGGCTAAGCGGGCCTCTATGGGCTGCTGTGGAATCCTGTCTGTGGTGCCGTGACCTGACCATGGAGTGAGTGACCCTTCTGGGGAAGAGCAATTATGCTGAAAGCGTATGGCTTTTATGGGCTGTTCTGGGAATTCCACTTCCCGTAACCTTGATGGATTGTTTAGAACAGATGCAGCTTTAATGAATAGTCAGGCCCTTGCCAGGATACAGCAGACAGGGCGGATGTATCACCATTCTGCTCTGACAGATGACAGATGGTGGCGTTTGTGCAAATTAATATACCTGATTAACGGTTTTGTATGTTCCTGTGGGGTACAGGGCTGATTCCCTAAGTATCAGCCATAGTTCTTCTCTGCATTTACAAGGGGCCCTAGAATAATAGGATAATGGACCTTCAGTTTTCAAGTTTTGTGGGACTGATGTCAATGACTTGACATTGCCAAAGTTTCATCTATCAAATATTTTGATTTCCAAATATTAAGAATTTAAAAATCAGAATGATTGGGGCTTAAACAGGATGAGCAGAGCCATCCCTTCTTCGAGGCAGCCAGACAGATCACTGTGTGCCCAGCTTTGCAGAGATCATCTCATTCAGTCCCCCTGCCACTCACGTGGGGGTCCTATCCCCTTTCTTGTGTGAGGAAGCTGAGGGCACTGCGCTCCAGTCTCACCTTGTCTTCACGTCACCTTCCCTCCATGAGATCGCTAGGGCAAATGAGGGTGTAATTCACATCACCAATCTCAGCTTAGCATGCATGCCCGTGTACCCACACTGGACAGGCGTGTGGGACATAGACCGATCCTGTGTGAGAAGTAGCGCCCTCCTGGTCTAGAGGGCTTTTAGACAGAACACATCGGCCCGGTAGATGGGTTTCTGCCCGTCACGTGCCAGAGTCTATACCAGGAGTCTTTATACCTATTCTGTGGTTTGAGTCTTGCCATAACCCTACGAGATCAGTGCCGCTGTTATCCCCATTTGCAAAAAGTGGGCAGAGATGGAGGACAATGAAGGACTGGCCCAGGTTAAATGGCCGGCCAGCGGAAGAGCCGGGATATACAGCCCCATGCTGTGCAGCCCAGCTGTGGGCTCCTCTCTGCCTCCTCTGGAGGCCTGGGTCGGACTGGCCTGGTTATCCACGGCCCTGTGTGCAGCGTGGTGGCAGGTCGGGACTGTGTTTTGGCAGCAGGCTGTTCCTGAAGGCAGAAAACAAGGAGGTCTTTAGGGCGTGTGAGGACTGTCTCCAGGCCTCCAGAAAATGGCCCAGAGTTTTGGCCAAGTAGTCTCTTGTTTCCTTTGGAGGCTGACAAGGACAAGGCACTGGGCTATGAGATCTGGGCGTCCTTTTGCCTTTGCCCACCTCTGCCCCATCCCATGGACATTCTGTGCCCCCTTAAGGACTCAGCCCCGGACCCTGACTATCCACTGCAGCCACACAGAGAGGTCGCCCTCCTTCTGCTTCTTCCCTCAGGGTGAGCACCTCGGGAGAGGCACGAGGACACACATCTACTCCGGGACCCTTATGGACTACAAGGATGACGAGGGGACTTCTGAGGAGAAGAAGATAAAAGTGATCCTCAAAGTCTTAGACCCCAGCCACAGGGACATCTCTCTGGCAAGTGTCATCCTCCCGGCCCCTCCGTCCTTCCCTGTCTCTGCCGTCAGGGAGACACAGGGGTTGGGAAGAACTGTTGCCCTCATGTCAGGCTCGTGGTCTTCACACTTGCCTTTTGGTCAGAATTCTTTCTTAAAGTTTGGTCCAAGACGGGTCCTGTGTGTGGAATCACTGAGGAGGTTGAACAGCCCCTGGCGCTCGGCCTGCCCCGCTCTGGCCCCTGTTTCCTGACTCAAGGCCCAGGGGCAGCGCGGTGGGCCCCGGGATACTGCCGAATGGTCTCTGTTTTCCTGGTGCAGTCCGTGGCCCTCATGGCACGATCTGGAAAATCAGATCCCAGAGGAGTAAAGCAACTTGCCGGGATCCCACAGACTATACGTGGGTGATAAAGCCACATCTTGAGCAGAAATCTGCCTTGGTGTCCCTTCATTCCAACATAGTGCCAAGTACTGTTGCTTCCCAGAGTTTAAAGGAAGAGAGAGGGGTGGGCTGGAGTAGCCGGTGAGCAAACCGTCAGCTGGCTGATCTCGCCAGCACCCCCCCACCTCCTGTGAGGTTTCCTAAGTAAGTCACACATCTCAGGCAGATTGGCCCGGAGGAGAGGGCTCGGCAGTGCCTCTGGTCCTCGAGGCTGGGGGACTGACGTTCACGGCCCAGGGTGGTGACAGGGCTGAGCTCTCCTGGATCTACTGACCCTCCTCGGCAGAGCCTCTCGAGGGTCAGCCTCGCCACTAGAGGCTGACCCAGCCATCCCTCTTTCCTGCTCTGCTCAGGCCTTCTTCGAGGCAGCCAGCATGATGAGACAGGTTTCCCACAAGCACATCGTGTACCTCTATGGCGTCTGTGTCCGGGACGTGGAGAGTAAGTGTTCTCCTTTAAGGGCGGCTGGCCTGCAGAGAGCGTGGGTGCCGCGATGCCTGCTGGGGCTGCTGTCTTCCTTGCACCCAGGCTTCCGGCCTGTCTTTCTGCAACTGAACAAATGGAGGTGCCGAGCCGGTCATTTTCTTGAGTTAATGGTGGGCGAGGAGCTAAAACCCATCTGGCTCCCACTCATTGCTTTCGCTTTCCTTCTTGCCCCCTCCGGGCCCCGCACTGTGCTGACCCGGGAGGCTGAGGTCAGAGGAGGTCGTGGCCTGAGAGGCCGCGGCGGGAGCTCAGGCCGGCGAGCCTGGGGCGGGCCCTGTGCAGCGTGGAGCCGGCCCCTTGAGTGGACCAGCCGCATCCTGGCCGTGCACGGGCTTGGGCCGCTCAGTTGTCGGGCTGTGGGGGGTGGACCTTGGGCCACCGCTGCTCCCGGCCTTTTGGCCAAAGCTGCAGCAGACTGAGGTGGGTGGCCTCGGCCTCTGAATTCCTGACACATGAATTTGGAAAAAGGAATGTTTTTAAAACCTCAAGTGATTTATTCCCTGTGAAATCCAGTACTGTGGGCAGTTCTGTGTGCTCGCTTGGGACTCCCGTGGAGAGGGAGGCCTTGCCACGTCGGCAGCCTGGCCTCTGTGTCTCAGTGTGCAGTAGGGGCAGCGGGCGTGTCGGCGGCCGGCCCCAGAGCCCCATTCCGTGTGTCACCAAGGCTCTCCAGGCCTCCTCTGGCATAGCCCTTCCCCGGACTCCGGGCGGTTAGGCACTTGCTGTCCCGTTCATTGACGAGGGAGCTGAGGCTCAGAGAGGCGTCCCCTGCTCAGTGCCACTCAGAGTGGAAGCAGAAGCACCTGGGCCTGAACCAGGCCGTCTGGCGTCCCGGCCGCCGGCACCTCCCGCAGGGTCTGTGCTCTGAGGCCGAGTCCTGCCCACTGACGCGATTCTCGCGAGGGGATGAGGGAAAGCACTGCCCAGACAGACGGGAGGCTCCGGGTGCGGCTGTGTTTGTGCCTGCAGATATCATGGTAGAAGAGTTCGTGGAAGGGGGCCCCCTGGACCTCTTCATGCACCGGAAGAGTGACGTCCTCACCACTCCGTGGAAGTTCAAGGTTGCCAAACAGCTGGCCAGCGCCCTGAGCTACTTGGTGAGAATGTTCTGCCACAATGGTCGGCGGTGATCCCCGCTGGAAACCAGAGTATCCCAGTAGGGGTGGCAGGAAAGAGGGGCTGGGCCAGCAGCTGGGAGGCCTGTTCCCGGGTTCTTGGGGCGGCTCTGTGGCTGAACACAGGTGTGCCTGGTGCTTAGTGAAAATGCCACTTGGGCTGTTCCCCGTGCTCCCTTATCAATCCTGTTTAGAGGGAAACGTTAGCACAGAGCGGTGTGGCCTCTGTTGCAGTGCATGAAGGGAGCAGAAGCAGTGCGGTCTTTGCCAAGGGAATCGCAGTCGCTCGTGTGTATCTTGTGCGTACCACGGGTCAGCTGTTCCTGTGTTTCATGGCTTTTGATCGGTCTAATCCTCTCAGAGCCCTAGGAGACATGCTCTGCTGTTGCTCCGGTTTCACCAATGAGGGAACCGGGGCCGAGGGACATTAGGTCATGCCCCTGAGTCGCACAGATGACTGGGAGAGCCTGGGAGAGCCAGGCTGCCCGGGTCTGGCTGTAGCTGGGAGGAGGGCGAAATGATCTGTGGGACCAGGGCTGGAAACAGAGTGTGGGAGGGAGGGAGGGAGGCGGCTGGCCCTGCGGCAGCTCTGCTGACCTGGCCCTCGTCACCCACAGGAAGATAAAGACCTGGTCCATGGGAACGTGTGCACGAAAAACCTGCTCCTGGCCCGCGAGGGCATCGACAGCGAGTGCGGCCCATTCATCAAGCTCAGCGACCCCGGCATCCCCATCACTGTGCTGTCCAGGCAAGGTGTGTCCCCCACCCCGGCCAGGGGCCAGGCCAGTGGCGGGAAGGGCTGGGCTGGGGGACATCTCCTTTTGGAGGGTGCAGTCAACCTTCAGGTGTGTGTGCTCCTGCTGCGTGCTTGGGGATACAGGGCTGAGGGCGGAGCTGAGGCAGAGCTCACCAAGGCTGTGTCGTCTCTGCAGTGAAGGGGCCCGTGTGAGTGCTGGAGTGGCCCTCGGGGGCGTGGTCAGAGAGCTGTCAGGTGGGAGGTGGGCCTTCTGGATCCTGCTCGTGTTCCTTGGGAAATGCGCTGTGGTTAGTGAGCCATCTGGAAGGCTTGTCCACTTGATCAGGCGACTGCGGTAGTCTCGCGTGGCCTGTTTGCACTGGGTTGTGAGGCATGTGGGCGCCGGAGGAAGGGGCAGATCTGGGAGCCGAGGTGTTGACCCCAGAGCTGCTCAGGCCGTGCTCTGCCTCCTGCAGGCCACGAGGGGATGCCGGCGCGTCCAGGGCCTGGTGTCAGAGCAGTCAGGGCCTGCTCCATCTCAGCACGGAGTTCTGACCAACTCACTGAGTTTTGATCCGTAATGCAACCCCAGAGTGGACTCAGTTTGGGAGGGAACCAGCATGAAAAACAAGCCTTAGAAAGGACACCCTAGTCATGTACTCCTTGGAAGGAGAATGGGAAGCTACCTTTAGTGCCCATTTGACAGGTATCTTCCTCCTGTCACCAACAGTCCTGAGGCTGATAATGCCCTGAATCTGTCATGGATTCTTCCTCAGCGAGTGTCAGAGACACAGACACAGATAACTCTGGGATAAGCAGAAAAGTCTGGGGTCCCCAGAGAGATGCCCATGAAATGCTGTGGGGATTTGGAGAGCGACAGCACCCAGCTGGGCACTGAGGGTGAACTCAGGGATTTCGGTGGGGCCTTGCAGGGTGCCTGCAGGCCATCCTCCCCTGGTGCGGCCCACATGTGCCTGTGCCTGGAAGGAGAACATGAGGAGGCTGGGGAGGTCAGCGGGCGTGGTATGGAAGCCTCGGCTCAGGGTCCTCCCTCGGGAGCCAGGAGGCTGCTCTGGGGAGGCTGCCTCACTTGCCCAGGCCATTTCCAGCAGGCGTGGCAGGGGTTTCTGCTGAGATTGCTGGCACTGGCCTCGTGGGAAGCCAGAAACAGCAGCTGCAGAGGAAGCTGGGAGAAAGGGACACGGGACTTCTGTGAGCCAGTCTTTCTTCCCTTGTTCTTTCCTCAAATGGAAGAAAACCAACATCAAGCTGACGAGACACTGCAGAGTGACAGTGTTGGCCTCTGCCCCCGGCCTCCTCTTCCTCGAGCCTTTGTCCGTGTGGCCCCTTGTTCTTCTTCCTGTCCCAGGGTGACAGTCCCTGCCCCGGGGTGCTTTGCCGTTCCTTCGGAAGCCGGCTGCACACGGCCCTCCCGGGGAGCCTGTGAGGGACCGGCCTTCTGCCTGCCCTGCCCGGACTGAAGTGTCGGAGGCACCCGCAGGAGGCCGGGAGCCCGCATGGCCAGCAGGCCCCCACGGGACTCGTGGCCATGGTCCGTGTTGGGGGCACATTGCTGGTTGCTGGCAGCAGTTCTTCGTTCGCTCGCGGTTCCTCAGCTGCAACCGTGATGTGCACCCCAGGAGATCCCGGCCCTCTCTGTGAATGGCTGTCGTCTCTTCCAGAGTGCATAGAGCGGATCCCGTGGATTGCCCCCGAGTGTGTGGAGGACTCCAAGAACCTGAGTGTGGCTGCCGACAAGTGGAGCTTCGGTACCACGCTCTGGGAAATCTGCTACAACGGCGAGATCCCCCTGAAAGACAAGACCCTGATTGAGGTGAGCCCTGGCTTCCCAGCGGCCGAGGCGGGGGAGGACTGACTCCCACGAGCCTCGCACCATGGGAAGAGGTGGGCATGGTTGAGTCTCTTCCCAGGCTCGCTGGCTGTGTGACCTCATAGCTGTAATTTAACTTCCCGGAGCCTCAGTTTCAGCATCTGCAAAATGGGCATAAATAACATACCTGCTCTGTGGGGTAACTGAGTAATGCACATTGAATGACAGGCATACAACACAAGCTCAGCAAATGTTACAGTGTTACTTATCTGAACCTTTAGGTGCCTATCATTCAGCAAAATTAACACACAAACATCTGTTGAGCTCTTTCTGCTGTGTCTCAGGTGCTGTCCTAGGTGAAAGCCGGGGGCTCATAATAAAATAGACACAGGCCTTGCTGTCCCTTGAGGGCCTCAGGATGTGGCAGGGAGTCAGACTAAAAGAACAGTAATGATTCCAAAGTATTTGAAAGTGTCACCCTAAGAGCTGGGCAGTTGGTAGGATTGAGTGAGGGCTGGTGGGTCCTTCAATTCCCTCCATGTGTCCCCTTCTTTACAGAAAGAGAGATTCTATGAAAGCCGATGCAGGCCAGTGACACCATCGTGTAAGGAGCTGGCTGACCTCATGACCCGCTGCATGAACTATGACCCCAATCAGAGACCCTTCTTCCGAGCCATCATGAGAGACATCAACAAGCTCGAGGAGCAGAGTAAGGCGCCACTGCCGCAGCCGAGCTGGGAAAAACTTTGAGAGCGGGCTGGGCGCCGTGGGGGCCTGGGAGCCGGGCGCACAGTCCCAGGTCGTGGCTTTTGCATCTGTGTTCCTTCCTCTTCTGTTAGATCCAGACATTGTTTCTGAAAGAAAACCGGCAGCCGAAGTGGATCCCACGCATTTTGAAAAGCGCTTCCTGAAGAGGATCCGAGACTTGGGAGAGGCAAGCACACCCGCGTGCCCGGGCCTCTTCACGCTCCTGTTCTAGGTCCAGGGCTGGGCGAGAAAGCACTTGGTGCATTCAGGGCCACTTTCCTCACAAGGGATCGTGTCTTTCTCCGTTTCATGCCCAGCCAGTGACAGAACGCATGTCCCTGTCTGCAATCCACATAGGATCCTGGTCAGTCCCTCCTGAGACTTGAGTTTTCTCTACCGGACGGAATAGAATGAAAGGTTGGGGGAATCAGGTGTAGATATGATGGAAATGGAAAAAGGTCTATCTCAGACTTTTCTGGGCACGTAGAGCCTGTAAGGCTCTTTAACAGAGGGACGGGCTGGCTGTACGGAATGCCGAGGTGGAGCATCAGCTTCTGTGGACCTGGCGTGGGCGTCTCTCGTCAGTGTGGCCAGAGGAGCTACTGGGATCTGTGTCTTCAGGCCAATTCTCTGTAGTTCAGTTAATCACGCAAAGACGGTGTCATGTCTTGAGTGTCTGCTCGTGCCACTTCACCCATCCCTGAAGGGTTGAAGCTATCCACACTGAGCCCCTCCGGTCAGCACAGAGGTGGCACGGCTGCGCTCTGACCCCCCACCTCCCCCACCGTCCATCCTCTGCAGATGCTCATGCATGTGCTCGTTTCAGCTACACGGTGATCCTGTAACAGGGCCGGGGGCTTAGCCTGAATTCCTCTCCCTGTGGACCCCTGTTTTCTCAGAAACTAGGACCGCTGTGTTAGCTCATCATCTGCTTGCCTTGTCGTAGCTTAGTCATAGAGGGACGGGTTGGTGGCGAGTGGGCGGAGTCCAGGTGAGAAGTTTCTGCCCGCAGAGTCAGCCTGTGCGGGAACCCTCGGCCTCGGGAACAGCCATGAGGAGCGGGACGGGCCTCCCATGTGTTCCCTGCTGGCCTGGGCTGCGGCTGCTCTCATCACAGCCTCTCTCCCCCAGGGCCATTTTGGGAAGGTGGAGCTCTGCAGATATGATCCTGAGGGGGACAACACCGGGGAGCAGGTGGCTGTCAAATCTCTGAAGCCCGAGAGCGGAGGGAACCACATAGCTGATCTGAAGAAGGAGATAGAAATCCTGCGGAACCTCTATCATGAGAACATCGTGAAGTACAAAGGCATCTGCACGGAAGACGGTATGCGGTGCACAGCGGGTGTGGCTGAAAGATCTAGTGACCAGCCCCTAGGGAAGGGGAGCCTTGAGGCCAGCCCAGAGCGGCAGCCCTCAGCTCGTCGGGGCCGGGGCGTCTGAGTTGCCAGCTGGTGGCGCCCACAGGCTCTCAGGACTTCCCTGGCGACTGCGCTGTCAAATCCGTAGCAGCAGGGCTCCTGGGTGGCCACCCCAGCCCTCTCGGCTGGGGGACGGTCCCAGCAGCCTCTCCAGGCCGTTCACACTTAGACCCGTGAACCTGGGCCCCACCACCAGCTTCCTTTCCTATCCTTCTTGTCCAATACCGGCCAGGGTATTGTGTTTTCTAGTTGTCTGAATCAAAGTGGCGAGTGGTATTCACTAATAATTGTGTTTTTTGGCCTCCACCCGTGGTAGCAAAATGGGGAGTGAAATGATGTGGCTCGTGGTTTTTAAAAATTTGCAGTTCACAGAGCACTGTGTCTCTCAGTGAGTGCTTATGACCGAATCCCCGTTCCCCGTGGAGGCTCCCAAGGCCTAAGAGGTTAAGTAATGCACTGCAGTGAGGGTAGAGCTGCCATCACCTTGGTCCCCTGGCTGAAGTCCTGGCCCCTGTCCTCTCCTACGCCTGCCTCACCTGGCAGCCTCAGACTGACACGTGTTTTTTCTAAACAGGAGGAAATGGTATTAAGCTCATCATGGAATTCCTGCCTTCGGGAAGCCTTAAGGAGTATCTTCCAAAGAATAAGAACAAAATTAACCTTAAACAGCAGCTGAAATATGCCGTTCAGATTTGTAAGGTAAAAAAAAAAAAGACAGTATGTTACAGATGAAAACATCGGGCACTCTGCCGGGTAGTTGATTTGTAATTAGACCTCATGTGGGAAAGTTTGTAATAATTGGACTGGGCTTATTTTGCTCTGCATTATCTGGATGAAAAATTAGCCTCTACTAAGAAAGTGATCACATTTGTTAAGTACAATTGCTTTAGTGTGTATTTCTCTGAATCAGTTTGGTCTTACTCTTCTTGCATGAAAGTCTGAAACCAACTACCAAGTCATGTGTGGATGAAATGACGTTTCTCTTTCTTATTATGAGGTGACAGACACAGGATACAATCTGAAGTGACCTTAGCAATGTGTTTGACCTTTAATCCTCTCCCCTAGGGCATGGACTATTTGGGTTCTCGGCAATACGTTCACCGGGACTTAGCAGCAAGGAATGTCCTTGTCGAGAGTGAACACCAAGTGAAAATAGGAGACTTTGGTTTAACCAAAGCCATTGAAACCGACAAGGAGTATTACACTGTCAAGGACGACCGGGACAGCCCTGTGTTTTGGTAAGTGATCAGCCAGCCAGATCTCATCAGTGCTCCTTAGGGTCTGCACCTTTCGATAGCCTCTTTCTGGCTAGGGTAATGTATCTCATTCCTCTGGCTAAGTCAAGGTAAGAGAGGACTCAGAACATTTAGAATTGATTGATGCTTACCTTCGAGAAACATCTCTTAGGCTGTTTAGCAGAAAGCAGCCGAACAAGTGCCTGAGCTTCCTGTGGCACCGTCTTACAAGGAAGGGGAGAAATGTGTCAGCATACCAGCTGCCCGGGAGAGGCATTCGTGCCACGATTCTTAAGACTGTGAGCAGGTGGAGCAGGCCTGTTCCCTTCTTAAACACACCCACGCAGTGGGGGATGGAGGGCAGGTGGGGGAGGGGGCCCGGGGAGACAAGGTGGGCATGGAACAGATTCAGGGAAGTCCTGGGCAGAGCAGAGCAAAATCTACGGGAAACCTGAATCACCAGTCACCCTGGCTAAGAGGCCACACTGACTGCAGCTACCTTGCAGCCTGGAACACTATGCAGGGGAGAAGCTGCTTAAATCCCCACCCCCTCCAAAACTGGTGTGCGCCTTTTGGTACCTCCTGCATAGACACAGACATAGACTCTCCCACCTGTGGGGCTAAGCCCTTATCCACTCATAGGGAAAGTTGCACCAAGGCCCGCAGGTACTGGAGATGTGGTGAACAGGTGGACTGCGTTTAGTTTATGAGCAAGGCAGCCAGTGCCGTGGAATGAGGAAGCAGCTGGAAGGGTTTAGATGTGGCCTTCTGGAAGTCCTGCGTGTTCAGATGAAACCTGAAAGATCCTCATGGTTTGTGGAGATGGCTGGAAGACAGTGTGCGTGACCAACCAGAATGAGATCCCAGGAATGGAACCAGTGTAGTTGGGTCATGCTGGCGTAGGAGGGTCACAAGGAAGCTGGGTTATGGAGCTTGAACTTCCCCCACAAGGGCAATGGGATGCCACCGGGGGCTCAGGATGGACATTTTGCTTGAGAGGCCCCGATAGAATGAATGGAGCAAAGCTGGAGTCAGGAAGTCTGATTTGGCTGCTTTAACATCCCAGCCCGGAGCCGATGACAGCACAACCTAGGACAGGGATTGGGATAGTGACAGCAGGACCCGAGAGCTGTGAGCAGGCACAATGAGGGATTCCTGGGGAGGCTTGGTCTGCTGGAACATCTTGGTCTTGGCCCGGGCAGTTGCGTGTCATTCCCCCTGCCCACCTTCCTGGAAGAGGACTTGGCAACGAGGTCCCTGCCACCCATTGTGAGCTTGCAGGCAGATCCAACCTGGGGCTGTCAACACAAGGCCCCTCCCGGTCCACGCTGAGAGGTGCGCTCAGGGAACCGAAGAGCCCAAGCTGGCCTTCTTACCTGGGGGCAAGTGTGTGCCACTGAGAGGCTGTAAAGGCTGTTGCTCTAAATGGTCACGTGTGTACCACAGCGGCATGTATGTGATTGATATGTGACACACACTCAGATGCTTCGAGTGTTAAATTCTAAGAAAAACCCAAGAGGTGATTTTCCAGTTACTCTGTCTTGGAGTTTGGAATAGCCCTCCCAGGAAATGGAGCTTGGTTCTCTGCTTTCTTCCAGGTATGCCCCAGAGTGTTTGATTCAGTGTAAGTTTTATATTGCCTCCGACGTCTGGTCTTTTGGAGTGACCCTGCATGAGCTGCTTACTTACTGTGATTCCGATTCTAGTCCCATGGCTGTAAGTCTTTCTTGTCTCTTCATTTGAATCTCAGACCCAATTAAAGCATGTCCATCCCTCTGCTTTGTAAGTTTTGTTTTTAAATGGAACCCAGTCCGTGTATTAAAATGCAGAGTGTTGCTTTCCATTTGGCTGGGTCTGTTACCTGACAATTATTCATGGGTCCCTCCAGTCCTGGTTTCACAAGGAGCCCAGAGTTCTACAGGGCAACCCTTGAATTTCAAGGATCTTGTTACAGGAGACAGCAAGTTTAGAGGGCTAGCATTGGGTAGGGGCCTGTCTGTGCCTCTTTATTCCTGACTGAAGTCCTTCTCTCTGGTGGACTCCTTGGCCAGTGGAAGGAGTGGGGGTTGAAATCTGAGACACTGATTACAGACAGAGCATCGAGGGCTAATAAGGATGGGGGGGTTCGCATTTACAGTTACTAAGGAAATACACTTTTTTATTACTTTCTTTTCCAGCCAGTTCTAGAAATTTCACCTTAATCTGTCTGATCTTCATATCAACATATACAAAGTAAAGCAAATATTTTGTTTGGCTTTATTTTACATAGTTGTTCCTGAGAATGATAGGCCCAACTCATGGCCAGATGACAGTCACAAGGCTCGTGGCCACACTGAAAGAAGGAAAGCGCTTGCCATGCCCACCCGGCTGTCCAGATGAGGTATTTTCATGGGCCGCTTCACAGTGACAAAACTCAACTATTCTGTCTTCACAGCCTGGGTTACCCAGCAGTGGGCAGGTGGGGGAGTGGGAAGTGAAATAACAAAGTTCTTTCAAGTCATTTTCTGTAGCTGAATTTCAGGTAAGAGGTCAGAGAAGTCCTCTTCTCAGATAGTCACCGATTATGTTCCCAGCAAGAATTCCCTCCAAAAGTTGGCCAGGCACATTGACTCATGCCTGTAATCCTAGCACTTTGGAAGGCCTAGGCAGGGGATTGCTCTAGATCAAGAGTTCGAGACCAGCCTGGACATATCTCTTTAAAAAAAACAACAACAACAACAAAAAGGAAGAAATTAGCCAGGTGTGGTGACATGCGCCTGCCTGTTCCCAGCAACTCAGGAGGCTAAGGCAGGAGGATCACTTGAGCCCAGGAGTTTGAGGCTACATTGAGCTATGATGTGTCTCTGTCCTCCAGCCTGGGTGACAGAGCAAGACCCTCTCTACAAAAAAAATAAATAAATAAATTGCCCCCCTTACTGTTTAGCCACCTGCCTGCCCAAAGGAACATGTTTTAGTATAGCCTCATTGTGAGAAGTATGTTTCGTTGTATCTCTGTAAGTTTATCCCACTTTTAGTAGCATTTATATGTATTCTATTTTCTGTCCTCGAAAGTGAATGAGGCTTTAAGACTAAACTCTTGAGACAACTTAGGAGATACTGAATAGTCTGAGTCAAAGAGGCCACCAGGGTAGAAAGTTAGCGTCTGCACTGAGGTTTAGCTTCACCCCTTAACTGGTTTACAGGAATGACCTGAATTTTGTTGAAGGTCAGTCAACCCCTGAACTTCTCAGGTGTTAAGACATCATTACGAAATACAGTTGCGTCACATTTTCTGTGTTTTAAATTATTCAGATACTCGTTATCTTCTAGTCTTATTAAGGAAAAGTCATTTATATTTCCAAAATTATTTTATTGTAGATGTTTATATAATTTTAAAAGACCCCACATCTAGTGTCATTTTTACTGTTGTTATTGGGTTTTTTCTTTTTACAGGTTTATCAACTTATGAGAAAATGCTGGGAATTCCAACCCACCAATCGGACAACCTTTCAGAACCTTATTGAAGGATTTGAAGCACTTTTAAAATAAGCATGGAAACCTTTAAATTCCTCAGTTTATCAAGTCCTCTTCCCTCAACAAATGCCCAAGCCATCCAAAAAAAATTTTAATGGAAAGAGTTTGTATTCTGTCTAAAGTCACTCGGCAAGTACTTGAGTACATGCACACGTGTAAGGCACACTGTGGTGCTCACATAGTTGGGTAAGGACTTCCTCTTTAAATCGGGCACCAGTAACTTAGTGACAGATCACGCCCACCACAGTATCTTAGGCACTTAAGCACTCCTCCTTGTGGAAAGACTAGCCACCATTTCATCTGGCTGGCCTACCACCCCCGTTGCATCCCAACAGGGGGTTTTTGCAAACGAGGAGTTGAGCAAAGTAATGTCTCAAGATGGTTGCTTTTCTCAGCTGCCAGTTGATCTGAAGTGTTCTTCTGGCACATTCATCCTAGATGAAGATGGATGGATTTAGCCGATACTCCACCACGCCCTTGAATTTCAGTATCTATACAGTGATAGGCCATGCATTCTGAAAATAGTAGATGCCAGTTAGTATGCTAGTGTTTCTATACAAAAGTGACTGTATTCTGTCACCAGTAGGACTTAAACGCCGAGTCGTTTCTCCAGTGGCTTAGCTCCTGTTCCCTTGGGTGACCACTGGTACCCACCCATTTCTGAGAAAACTGGTTCTAACGGGGACCGCTGTGGACTAGACACTTGGCTGCATGCTCGTTCCTGAGAACTAGCCCGGGCCTGCCTCCTGCGCACCTGTCATCAGAACCCATCCCAGGCCTGGATGCTGTCGCACACGCTTTGAAGAAATGTCAGTGTACCTATTCTTTGACAACTCTACCACTTCGGGGCAAACTGTTGCAGCACTGGTTGTGAATGCTGGATGCAACCAGTCTGAGTATATACCCCATATGTCGCACAGTTCTTGGAGTGTTGAGATACTTACCGCCCATCTACAAGGGTCTATCACTATTTTGACAGTCACCCTGTGGTGCAAAAGTTAAAAGACCCAACTAAGGCGCAAGGGAGTTCAGGATCCACTAGCCAGCTTTCGGTTTGCTTGGAGGTAGCCGGGTAAGCAAAAATGTTTGTCTTGGATTCAGCGTGAACCATCAAGATCTTTATGACCGAGAGCCTGAAAAAATTCCTGTCATGCTGTCTAGCATCTGTTTGATACCATTACTTTTCACCTGCTGAGCCCGAAAAAAAACAGTTCAAGATGGATCAGTGTCAACAATGAACCTGCCATTGAGATGTGTTCGGTAGCCCTCCATCACCAAGGTCTCTGTCTGTGTCAAACCTGTGGCCACTCTATATGCACTTTGTTTACTCTTTATACAAATAAATATCCTAAAGACTTTACATGCATATGCCTTTTTAATATTAAGATTTCATTTTCAAATAACAGTATGACTTTTTTGGGGGGGCTTACATAGAAAAATAACAGTATAGACTTTTTGGGGGGGGGTGATGGCCCTTATTACTAACAGCACTTGATCTGCACGTCTCTGTTGTATCAGGTGATGACGGGCACAGGCCAGCCAGACCCCTTTGTTGCAGTTCTTCTGGCCTCTTCCTGCTTTCCCCCCGCAGCTCTGATGTCACGTTCACTGCCTTCCCTTTCCTGCATCTGTACTGTCGGGGTGTGCCTAGGCACTGAGAGGCTAAGCGCAACAGCCGAGTCGGAGGACACGTGCAGGCAGGAAGAGCCAGGAGTCATCCGCTGTAGAGCTGAGCGATGCCACTTCTGATCAGCTATCTCTAGGTAGTGCACTGCTTAGAAACTCTCTTAGTCTTGCTAGCGTCATTTTCCGAGAGAAGCTAGTATATGCAATAAATTAGACCAAGTGAAATTCTTGACAAAGCATACAACATATGTACCAATTCTAGACCTCATAGTTAAAAACACAATATCTAGATCATAGTCAAAAATAGCAAGTCCCCAAAATGACAAGATATTTAGTGATCTGATTTCAAAAAGGCTAAGAGCACTGAGATCCCAAATTCCACATCATCAATTACAGTCTCATAACTGAAAAAGCTTGGAGATTTCTGGATGCCAAAAGGTTTCTCATGCATTTAGTACCAGGGTCTTCAGGAAATGGTGATGTCAAAAGTCATACGCAATAAAGACAAAAATCCTTCCAGAAGTAAGTTGGGTTAAATAGCTGATTTTTTTTAGCCTAACACCATCAAAGAAGGAGAAAGCAGAAATTGAGGTATAGCTTATTAGCTCAAAATGGTTATCAACATTGTACTCTGTAAGACTCCTTCAGAAAGGGGTGGTATTGACCCTTGACTCTACTGTGGAAACAGGGTATTTGGTAGTCAAACTAGGCCCCATTCTAGCAATTAGATCATCACCAGTCACTAGTCTGTGCTATGAAATGAGGAATAGAAGTCTTTGCTCCTTGACACTTAAAGTCTGTCTCAAAAGTCAAAGGTCTGTCTTTAGGTGAAGTGAAAGGAATAGATGCTATCAGAATTAGTGCTATCAGATCGGGGTCAGCAAACCCTCTCTGGAAAGGTCAGAGAGTGAATATTCTAGGAATTGCGGGCTCCATGGTCTCCGGGGAAGCTACTCAGTCCCGCCACTGTAGCACACAAGTACTACAGACAACGTGCATGGTTGTGTTCCGGTGAGATTTCACTTACAGACATTGAAATCTGATTTTGTATAAATTTCATGTCATGACTGTGCTTTTTTCCTCCAGCTATTTAAAAACGTAAACATTCTTAGCTTGCAAGGCAGCGCAGAAATGGGCCCCAGGGTGTAGTCTGCCAAACCCTTTGTTAAATCCCCAGAGCTACTTTCCTAAAGAGACCTTGTTTTTTCCGCCAAAGGTATAAACGGTCAATAACATCCTAAAAGCAAAGCGTCTGTGGTCGTGTGGACGTCGCTGTGGTCGTATGGACGTCACTGTCACTATTGCACGGCTGGTGTGGGAGTGAGAACGGAGTCTGCGTGGGGCGTATCTTACGACGTCACCCTCAGCACATTTGGTACTCAATCCTATGGTTCTGGAAAGAGTCCTAAGAATCTATAGATGAGATTGCTCCTCGGGAAAGCAAATTGAAATGCACATTGGCTTATAAGAAACTCATTTTTCTAAGGCTCAGGAAACAAGACTGCTTCCCGTTTATTGCTTCAAACTTTTATAAATGGTGTCAAAGTTATTTCCAGTCCTAAAACAAGATTGGAACATGGTGAATTTCTCTAGTGGGTTGTAAGTTAATGTCACACTGATTAAGATGCATCTAACTCTAGTGGAAAATGTCCTCGACTGCTGTCTCCTCTTATTGTATTTTTTTTTTTTTTTTTTTTTTTTTTTTTTTTTTTGAGTTGGAGTCCCCCTCAGTCACCCAGGCTGGAGTGCAGCAGCACGCTCACGGCCACCCCAGTGTCAACCTGCTGGGCTCCAGCGATCTTCCCGCCTCAGCCTTCCAAGTAGCTGGAAATACAGGCGCGCGCTACCACGCCCAGCTCATTTTTAATTTTATTGTAGAGGCCAGGTCTCGCCAAGCTGCCTGAGTGGTCTCGAACCTGCGGGCTCAGGCAATTCACTCGCCTCGGCCTCCCAGAGTGCTGGGATGGCAGGCTGAGCCACCGAGCCCGGTGTATTGCTTTTTTTTTTTGGCAATTCTGCCAGCTGCACAGCGCAGCTCCATCTGGGAAGTCAAAGACCCGTATCGAAAGGATATGGCTAGTCTGAATGAAGTTAAGGCAGCGATGAACAGCAGAGATGCTGCAGAGAGCCCGGGAGGGTGGAGGAGAGCTCCCCTCAGTACACGCGCTTCTTTTTTAAGTAGGTCTCCATGTAGTAGGCTCCCGTGCCCTGAGAATGCTGGTCAACAAACTCCATGGAACTACCTTCTGGGGCAGAGATGAGATAGGACGAGCCTCGCTTTTCATTTCTTAAAGAGGACACCTGTGAGAAAACAAAGTTGCAACCAATGTTCACATCTAGTCAGGGTTTAAAGATCTCATCGGAGAAGTGTTCTGCTTTGAGTGGGTCAAGACAGAATAGCAGGGTAAATGATAAAGCTATCAAAAATGCACAAAGTCCTTTGTTAGAACAAACTAGACTATAAAGTTTCCGCATCAAAATCACCTTTGGAACTTGCAGGAGACACAAAACAGCCTCTGAGCGCCCTCACTCCCCACCCCTGACATTTTGGGGAAGGAAAACCCGAAGCACAGCAGTTGCGATCACACCTAGTGAAGCCCCGCCGCCAGGTGTAGTGTTCCTCTCGGGAAGGCGTGGCTGGAAACGGAGCTGCGCGTGGAATTAGGGCGAAGCTGCCTAGCAACCAAAGGAGAGGCGAGAAGCAGCCAGGAGGCGCAGAACCCGGCAAGGGATGTCGGCGAAATTCACAGGGCATGTTCTGGAGAGCCGTGGGAACTCAAAACTTTGGTCCCCAAGTCACCTGGTGAACGAGTTAAAAATGCAGGCTTCCAGGCTCCATCCCAGAGTGACCAGATGTCCCTCACCGGCGGTCACAGTCCTCAACACCACAGATCAGAGTGCGCAGCACAACCCATCCTGATACCGCTTGGTTTTAGCTTCCACACTCGGTGTGACGAGCTCAAGGAAGCAGAATTACTTCACACACACAAGTTTAGGAGGGACATGGGGAACAGGAATGCTTCCAGCAATGCAAAGAGCCTTCTCACGTTACAACGAAAGGTGCAGTTGTTTTTGAACCTATGATGGTTACAATTTTAAAACAAGCAACAAGTGACAGGAGGCTGAAGCCAGGATGCCATCTATCCTGGGGCTCCACGGTGGGGGGCTCACTGCTGGGGGTACCGCACAAGCCCGGCCTAAAGAAATGTTTTACAGAGTGAAACTGGCTTTAATTTCTGTCTCAACATTTTTCTCGGTAGTAAGATATTTCTGAAGTGTGCTCTGGAAGAATCCGAGGGAGGGCAGGTGAAATGAGACGGCCAGGAGTGGATGGCTGCTGAAGCTGTCAGTGGGGCAGGGGGCCCACCCCCGAGGGGGCTGCTGGCCACGGCCTGTCACCTGCTGGGGCCTCCGCCCGGCGCCCCTCCCACCACTCAGCCTCCTGGATTCGGCCAACAGCCCCGCCTCAGCCCCTTTGCGGCCAGCGAGCGATCTCCCTGCACGCTGGGTCCCGCCAGTAACCACCACCCCTGACCTCGGCTGAAAGCACTCTTCCTCCGGGCTTTCCTCCGCTTGTCCCAGCTACAAGCGCGGTTCTCCAGAGCTGAGGGGGAAGGCGGCTGACGGCACCCCGGGGCCGCGGGACCGCCCTCCGGCTCCCCCTTCCTGATTCTTCCTGCCACTTTGTGACCCCTGCCTCAAGCCCTGCCATAAAGCAGAGCCACAGGCCGGACCTCCCTCTTCCCTCTCAGAAGCAGGTAGGAAGTGTCTTGGCGTCTTTCATTGCAAGGGCTTCCCAGTGGTGTGAGCCGGTGCAGTGAGACCCCCAAACACCGGGCAGCCCAGAAAGACAAGAGGAAATGAAAATGGACGCCATGGTAGCTCGCTGATCCTGGGGGAGAGAGGATCCTTCTAGAACACACTGTCGAAGACTCTGAGCCTTTCGCAGAAGGACTGGTGAGCGCGAAGTGAGGACTCAGGTTTCTGCAACAAGCTCGGTGCTCTAGGAGAAATCCACTCACATCTAGGAAGCAACAGCAAAGGGGACCCGCCGGCAGGGAAGGCGGCAGCGGGCAGGGCTTTTCCCTCCACTTGGAGGACACAGGTGCTCCTTCCTTCGGGGACCAAGTGCCGCGGGGCTTGCCGAGCGGAGGCGACTTGCACTGTGCTTGTCGAGGGCCGCGGCCTCAGGAGGGGGTGCGGGAGAGACCGGAACGTCCTCCTAAAGGAGCCCGTCGCTTTGCCAAAAGAGAAGCGCCCGAAGAGCAGCAGCTGCTTCCGAGAAGGGCAGTGGGCGAGGGGGTGGCGAGGCCGTCGCTGGTCTCCCTGCGGGGCGGCTTCTGGCTGGGGATTTGGAGGTGAGGTCTGAGCCGGGCGTGAGGGGGCAGGAGAACCCGGGGAAAGGAAGGAAGGGCAGGAGCAAGGATGGGTGGAAGGTGGGCGTGAGGTGGGGGGAGGGGGGCTGAGGGCAGGGGAGGCGCAGGATGAGACCCCGGCCCTGGAGCCTGGAAAGGTGGATAAGCAGCCCCACGAAACGCGAGGCCAGGGAGGAGCCGGGCAGCCCCGGAGGCGTCGCCGGGAGGCTGGCGGGCCGGCCGAGCCCGGACACGTGCCTGCGGGCACACACGGGTTACGCCGATTCCACATTCGGCTTAAAATGGTGCGTGGAACATACAAGTGGGACAGGACAAAGTGCCAGGCTTAGAAAATCGGGGCGGGGGGGAGCTTAATAAGCATTTATGCGCCGAAGACCAAGCAGAGGGAAGACACCGAGAGAAGTCAGAATACTTCAGCACTGCATGTCTGATATTCAGGGGAGAATCCAGCCAGCACAATGGCCACTTTCAGGGCCCCGTCCTTTGCAAGGCCTTCCCGGGGGGCCGGGGCCACCATGAAGTCCGCTCCCTGCGAGTCCAGTCGGTCCTTCGGAACCACGAGTCCAGTTCGTCCTCGCCCCCGCCGCGCGACTGCAAGGGGCCCTCACCCCCGGGGTGCCGGCCCCCCTTATCTCTCCAAAGTGGCTGTGCAGACGCCCCCAGGGCCTCCGGCAGGGCACCCCTGGCCTCCCCTCCTAGCTGGCGACTTGGTTCCCACTTCGCCCGGAAAACGGATGACAAGGAAGCCTCGAGAATGCAGCCACAGCGCCTGCCCCGCTCCTCCTGTGCCCTCACTTCGCCCGGCCGCATGCAGGTTCCGACGGCCACCGTTACGGCGAGGGGGGTCTGCTCACAGCGCCCCTCGCCTCCGGACGCGTGCAGGGAGCCGACGTCTCCGCCCGGGCGTGTCTCGTTTCTGTCCAAAAACGTACCCCTCCAGCCGGTCCCACCCGCAGTCTTACCCAACCCATCAACAACAAATTCTTTTTTCCAGGCCCCAAACCTTGGGGTCTTCCCTCCCTCTCACCCCCGATGTATTCTGTTGACTTTACCTCCCCAAAACGTCTCGAGCCCAGCCATTCTTGCCACCCGCACGTCTCGTGCCGCTCCAAGCCGGCCTCGCCTCTACCTGATGGCACTGGCAGCCTCCCGCCTGATGTTCCTGGTCCACACGGCAGCCGGAGGCGGCCTGTTAAGCTGTCTGGAAGGTCAACTGTCCCCACACTCAAAACACTCCAGTGGTGTTTCTGTCTCAGAGCAAAAGCCACAACCCTCACAAGGTCTGAAGGGGCTCCCTGCCCCTCGCCCCGCCATGGTGACTGCATCTCCTATCTCCACTTTGCTGGCTCCTCTTCTGCTCTTCTGAAGGCCCCTTGTTGTTGCTTTCACATACCAAGCATGTCTCCACCTCGGGACCTCTTCACGTGCTGCTTGCACTTTACATTCACGCAGCACACACCCGAAACTTCCGGTCTTTCTTTTTCCTGGTCTTCAGTTCCACAACCTTTTTGCCATGGCTGCCATACTTAAACTGCAAAGCCTTCCCAGACACCCTGTAGCCCACACTTTGATTTATGTTCTCTGCGATGACCACTATTCATTTTACTAAATTTTTTCTGTTGTTCCCTAACTTTGCCCCATTTTTTATAAGAATGTGTACCTTTTGGTCACAGCCATATCCCCAGGGCCCAGAACAGTGCCTGGTACATAGCAGGCATTCCATAATGCTGCTGGGATGAATGAGTGAATACCTTTGGAACATATTTTCTAAGCATGCATTCCCAGTTCTTCAGCCAACAGACACATGCCATGGCTTCTGACACTTCTGCACCGAAGTACCGAACCCCACAATCCAACCAGGGCCTGCTGGAGCAAGGATGGCTGGATTTCTTGCTTTGTGCACTCGCTCATTCTTGCTAGACTTTAAGATGACGTGGCTCTTTTAACTTCTGCCCACCAACCAAGTCTTTTGCACAGATCTGTGAGACCCATCCTGGAACTCTGCAGCTGCTGTTTTATTTGGGGATTTTAAAAAGTCACATTTTTTCTTTCTTTTATCAAAGCAAATCTTTTTATCTTCATGTAAATGTAGGCTTTCTTTTATCTCCCCGAATTCCAAGTGAATGTAGAAAGAGAATGTCACAATTTCATTTCTTGACGGCCAAATTTTAAAACCATGGATCTTAAGCTCAATTTTTAAGCTCACGTCAGTAATTGAATGGGGGGCTCATTTTTGTTTTTGAATTTTATTTATTTATTTACTTGTCTTTTTATTTTTGAGTCAGGGTCTAACTCTGTCACCAGGCTGAAGTGTAGTGGCACAGTCACGGCTTACCACAGCCTCGACCTCCTGGGCTCAGGCAATCCTTCCACCTCCCAATCAGTCTCCCAAGTAGCTGGGACTACAGGCGTGTGCCACCATGCCTTGCTCATTTTCTTGGTCTTTTGTAGAGATGAGGGCTCACTATGTTGCCCAGGCAGGTCTTGAACTCCTGGCCTCCAGCAATCCTCTTGCCTCGACCTTGCAAAGTGCTGGGACTATAGGTGCATGCTGGCTGGGGGAGCTAGCTTCAAAGGCTTTCCTAAGAGTTTGGGAAAGCAGACTCTTGACTATGCCTCAGGAAGATTTCTCTGGGATGTGTTCATGTCCATAGTGAATTCCACGAGGCTCATCTGCTTTCGGTCGAATTAAAGATTCATTTTTGCTCCTCTGGAAAGAATATAAGCAGCTCACACGTAGCCCTCTACATACAAAATCAGACTGGTTTTCAGAGCATCTGTGTCTGTTTGGGACTCCTGGTCCTCGCCATTCCTTTTGGCCCCCTGCGCTTTTCCTAAGTCCTGCCCTGTCAACGGCATTAGGGACGGAGCACCAAAAGTGAATGACCGCATTAAGTCCTCCGGCGCTCTGGGTCTGGCCCTGAT